TAATAGAATTATATTTAAACATAAATGTTATAGTTAATATTCACAATTTAACATTTAAGCAAACAATTTAAAGACAATTGAACATCTAACCATTACCAGTTCTATGTATCTGAATTTTATCACAATAAAAAAAAAACACATTTAAAGATGTGAATAATTTTATTTAAAAACTTTTAAGGAATAATTACTGATAAACTTATGAAAAGCCGATGAAAAGGTTGCTGAATTACAACTGAAAGGTCAATGAGAGATGACGGAAAGGTCACTGAAAGGCGACTGAAAGACAACGGAAAGGTCACTGAAACATAGCTGAAGTGTGTCCGCTGAATGGTGACTGAAAGTTACCTGTGGCTGAAAGGTTACTGAAAGGTACCTGCCTGGCTGAAATGTACCTGCCATTCAGTGACTGAATGGCTACTGAAAAGTCACTGAATGGCGCCTTTCAGTTTTAACTGAAAGGTCTTGTTTCTTCCTGTGGCATATCCTGTTGTCCGAGGCCCTTGTCTTGATCATGTAAACCAAGTAATCCGTAGACATATCAGTATGTAAATAATGACCTATATAACAGTTTGAATAAAAAACGTTAGTCAACATCAATAATAGATTGTCTGTGGAAACAGGCATAGTGACGACCGAATAATTGACGAAATGTTGACTTGTCAACTGTTTAACAGTAGTTTCTTTGTTAGTAATTTCCCTTTGTTTCCCTTTGTTTAGAAAGAACATGCTCTATTGCAAGTCGTAAACAAAATATGTAGGTGATAATGGTAAATATTTACGTGGCCGAGATAAATATAAAAATAAGGTAATAAATCTATAACCTCTTAAAGCGATTTGCTCAACACTTAACAGAACTGCATGCTTTCTCGCTGTGTGTTGCTTAGTAATACACTGGGCGGTGATGCTGCGATTTCTTATTATTGAGCTGTTTTTTAATGAATCAAGAATCAGGTAAAAACATAAATATAAAAACTTTTTTGTCTTATGACAACGCCTTCCACGTTCATGCAAATTATCACGCAGGCAAACTGATTGATCAAAAAATAAAACCAAAAAACTATACGGTTTTTCCTTAAATATAGAAAGCTGAATATAGAAAAGTTGATATCATCATGTTTGTCGAAATGTTTAACCGATAAGATGCCATGTATGTATTTCTATTCAGTAAAATATCAATATATGAAACAAATATGTCATAGTCCTGCTGGCTTTTATTTCGGATTCATTATGGTATTCCACACATCTCCATAAAATATCTGTACATTTTGTTGATGATTTTCAATCCTTCCACTGAATAGGGATTAAATGTTCTCCGCTTCAAGGCTGAAGATTGCTATTTACTTTGATGGTCTAAGTGAAATACAGATGAGTTATAAATAAGTTTCATGCGTCGTAATAAATATCACATTCTTTAAAATACAAAGAACTGATAATAAAAGTCAAATTGATTTTCCTTCTTTTTATCAGTCAGTACCTTTGATTTTGGATTCCCTTTGCAGAAATTCTCATATCTTAATGTTCTGTCAGGACTGTATGTATGGTTCCCACACTTACAAAAACTGTTGTAAAGATTCGTAAAGATTTCGGAAACGGTCCTTTGTCCGTCTCCATTTACTTTTCTGATGATACTGTATTTTTGAGAATTAAGCTTTTGATATCCGAAAGCTTCTGATAGATCAACATCATACAGACTGCTTCTTTATAATATATATATTTTATTTATATTTATTATAGATATATTTTCCAGCAAATGATGGAAAATTGGGATATTTAAGCTTTTCTTAGCATTTCAAAAATATAAATTGCCCTTGCCTTCATTTCCAGGTTATCATAAGAGTAGTTTATGATATAAAAATTAGATCTAAAAATCCAAACTAACAGTTTAAAACTACATCCCCTTTAAGGGAGCTGATTGGTTTACTACATGCTTTATCTAGGTCCTCTATAACTAGAAGTATTTTACATGGGTTAGTTGTCATTGGTGCATTTGAAGTCATTAAAATGTTCCATAAATCGTTTCTCGTTTCTTTTGCGTGCGATCAACCAAAACCTGTTATCCTGTCTTATCAAGTTACCAATGGACTCCTCATAAGCAAAATGCTAACTCATAATGTAAATAATATTTCAATTATTTTCACATTGATATTCCGAAAGATTTATTTCTTTTATAATAAGATGTGGAATTTAACTCGAAACAATATAATTTGTCACTAAAAGTGAAAATTCATACTATGCAATTTGAAAAATAACATGTATACACATAACAATTTCTCTTATTTGGAAACAGTGGTTACGTAAATGAAATTTGGAGGAAATAATAATGGATTCAAAATAATTGATCTAGATATTCTTATGATAAATCTGTATATACCAAATTTCATTTCAGTATGTGCAATCTCTGCGAAGAAAATAAAAGGAAACTGCAAATAACTGGAATTTTTGTACGTCCAAGGGGCATTACTCTGTCAAAGATTGCTCGAAACGGAACTTGACCTAGATATTCTTATGAAATTTGTATACCAAATTTAATTACAGCATGTGCAACTTCTGCGAAGAAATTGAACGGAAACTGTTGGTGGACCGACAGACAGACAGACCGACTGACAGACAGCAGTAAAGCAATAGGCCCTCCCTTCTTCGAAGGGAAGCATAATTATGCTGCGAAACTTTGTGTGATAAAATAATTGAAGTATATATAGAATAATACATACCCTTTTCCATAGCACATCCTGTATCAACCCTATACACCAGAGGACAAAAGGCAAAAGGCTGAGGGTTTATAATATTTTGACGATTTGTTCTTGAAATTTTTGACGAATTTTACATCATAACGGTTATAGACAAAACATTGAAATTATTGCTTTTCATTGTATTTAATATTACAATTGCTGTAAAGATTCCAAATGTATTGCATATATTGTGCCTTTTTCTTTGCCATTGACAGTATTGCATTATCAGTGCATAAATAGCATACATAACATCAGAAAAATATGAACCATTTTATCACTCATTATAAAGAAAGAAAGAATAGGCTTGGTACTGACACACTGTGTATACTGTTTAAACAGTAATTAACACATCACTTACTGACCAATTACCGAAATGAAGTTCATCCTGAGAATCCTTATCTCCAAATTCTCTCTCTCTTTATATATACTGTATACAGGGTTATTTTCGCCCCGTGCTATTTTCGCCCTTTCAAACTTGCAAACAATTTTGTCCCTTTTTAAATTCGCCCAGTCACATTTCTGTTTAAAAAATTATACTATGTTCTTTGAATTCGCACCGTTTTAAATTCGCCCACCTGTGAGTAGGACGAAAGAGGCGAAAATAAAACGGGGGCGAAAATTTCCCTGTATACAGTATATATATATATATATATATATATATATATATATATATATATATATATATATATATATATATATATATATATATATATATATATATATATATATATATATATATATCAAAATTTCTATGTCCCAGGGCAAGTTTATGCTTAACAAAGTTTTAATATTGAATTATTTTGACAAGACAGATTAATAATTGTGTAGGATAAAAAGTAACAAAACAATTTGTTTTTTCACTCTAGCAAATTTGATTGAAAAGCTTTATCACAAAATGCAGGAAAGTTTAGAAACCCTAGAATTTAGAGCAATATGAGCTGCAACTTTGATGTCAGAAATTTTTGTTGCAAAATTGTAATTAACTGTTTCAATGACACAAAAAAAGAACGTATATAAACTTCTGTTGTTCATATCGGCGATAGAAGAACTATTTATAAGCTTTGATTGAAGCAAAATTACGTTATTGTCGTCCTGTACAATATTGATTTCTTATATAATACTATATATTTGATTGTACAGAATCCTTTATTCTGAAACAATTTGATACTTTATTTCTGTCTAATTGATCAAAAAGGTTTAAATTACATACAAATTTATCATAATAACACATTTTAACAGCAAAATAAAATTCTCAAAAATGCAGCTCATATTGCTTTAAAATTCACAACATTCAATGCTGTATTTATCCTCCATTCAAACGAATTAACAGTAATGCATCTGCTACTCCACAATTTCACAGAATTAAAGAAAAAAAAAACATTTATTGAAGATTATTCCATGTGTTGACAAGGTTTCCCTCTAGTTCCTCTAGATTCCGTGGTTGAAAAAGCTGTCTCACTCTCCGGTCTATTTTATCCCAAACATGCTGTGTGTATGTCAAGGGGACTAACCGAAATTGTCTGTGCCTTGCCGACAATATTAAGTCTCTCCTTAAATGCGTTCCTCACTCCCCCCTTTTTGTTCCGTACAGTTTGATCTCTTAGAGACGGAAGTCTGAACAGACAGACTTCGATGAATTTTCAAAGTGTGCCGTGTAGTTGTATATGCAGTTAGGTTCCTTTCACAATAGTTTGTAATTCTTATGAAGTAGTCCTGTTGATGTGTCGTTACACTACGTCTACACTTCCGGTTCCAGTGAATTTCCGGATAAGCCATAGGATGGTTTTGTGGTCTCTGTGAAAAATCTAGCGACTTCTAATAATTTTAAGGCATTCAAGTAAGCTTTCTTGGTCTTTTGGACGGTATTTTTAAAGGTTCTAACCAAAAAAATTGCATATAGTGAAAGAAAACGAACCTCTCGTGAACTACACCCAGCTTGAACCATGTTAACTTTTCTTGCACATTCTTGTGTGGACATGCACCACATTTTATTCAGATTGTTTTTTATGTTTTGCGGAAACATCAAAAGGTAATGAACACATGGAAGCAACAAATTTTGAAAAATACACCCAAAACACATGGAACTCGCATTTCATGTTTTTCAACAAAAATGGTCACGGTAGAGTAAATACACATTCTATTACAATTTTTCTGACCTTGACAGGTAAGCATTGCATATTGCAGTCAAAATTTAAAACTACTTAAAAATTGACATTAGGGTTTTTAAATTTTTAAGATAAGAAAAGTGGGGACTTTTGACAAGTATATATATCATTCCTTTCTTTTCCAGACTTCCCATAGAAAAGGGAACTTGTATACCACCTCGTGGGTACGTGCGAGAAGTTGACGCAGTCTGCAATAGCGGCACAGAAAATTTCCTATATTAGGAGCAGAATGATGGGGCTGAAATTGTATGAAATCGAATTTCTGAATCAGATTCGTGGACAACAAATTCTCTAAAACATCAAATTCACAGCCTTCACAGTTAACAGTCAGAAGGTCTATTCTATGACATCCCACTCCTAGTTGAATGAAAAAATCCAAAACACCCACTAATTGAACCTTTTCAGTCGTGTTTAAGATTGATTTTTTTAACATTTTTGTTCCGTCTCCGACTACTTCTACGTCCAATTCCGTGCGATTTCCAGAGAGGCCAAAATTATATGTTTTTACACTTGTATTGAAATTTAAAGTCTGAATATTCTTGTTTAGTGTCTTGTAGAAACTAGGAACAGGTTCTATAACTACATAGTGTTTGGCACCAGTTACAGGAATAAGTTTCTGTAGAGTCTGACCCGTGTAACCTCCGATTTCAATTATAACAACATCAGATTTCCTTTTCAGAAAAGAGAAAAATGAAGATGTGATGTTGTAATTACCAGTATTAACAAGTCGTTCGAAATGAAATTGTTGAACTTTTTCTGGATGGATATTACTATTGACACAGAAATGAAAAGATGGTATATAGAAGTATGAAAAGTCTGATGCATGATTCCATTTTACCTTGTCAATGCATTTGTTCCTTTTTGTAATGGGTAAAATAGGTATGACCTGTGGTAAATTTGGTTTCCGTATTGTTGATGGTTGTTCGTTTCTAAAAAGATTTTCAGGAAGTTCACATGTAGGCAATTTTACGGCTGTTTCTTTTAAATCGTAGTCTTTCTTTGTCATCATGTTCATAGAAATGTATACTAGGAAACAGAATACAACAAATACTGCAACTGTTTCTCGTTTGTGTGCCATGTTCTGAAACAAATAGTGTTTTTATATTATTAATGATTTGTAATTTTCTTGGGGTGGATATGCCCATACTCATTTAAGATTAAACTCTAAAAAGCATTTCCTAGAAACAAATAATATACTAATACTATACTAATGAAAGGGGTTTCCTAGTATTAGATTGCTACTGGGCTTTTTCTGCTTCTATTACCTATTAGTACTTATATAAAAAGAACGAGGGTGTATTTGTTTGGCATTCGGCAGGAATCTGGGCGCATTTGAAATGTGGAAATTCCATTGATCTCTCAAACGAATTTTAGCATTCTTTTGATGTATCGAATTCCTGTGAAAAAGAAAAGGGAATATTTCCCGATATTGTGTCTTGATTTGCAAAAAAAAAAAAAAAAAATTGAATATGACAAATACGTCATCTGGTGGAAAATGTTACATTTTAAAACAACGTTTTTTCCTAAAAAAAAAAAAAAAAAAAAAATTGCCACCTCTGGGTAATCTTCCCATGATTTGAAAACGTTATTTGTGTGCATTTTGATTTTTTTAAAAAAAATTAGCAAACATTTTGGAAAAAATGGGAAGAGACCCAAAGACCCAAAATTGAAAATTTTCCAAAACAGCCTCATGGTGTAAATGCGGTGCTTTATCTCGTTATGAAATCCATATTGCTCGTGTTGCAATGATAGCTCATTAGTATGCGTCCAGGGCACTCAGGAATCGAGAAGTTTTTGTTTCGATCCTCGCACGAAAATTTACTTTTTTTAATACAGACAATCAAGTCGTTTGTCAGTTTAATTTAATATGAATTTATATACTGATTAATTTAAATTTTAGAATAGATAAATTTTGATTCAATTTCACCGAGAGCGAATGCAGTTCTTCCAACCTACTGAAACTTTAGTATACATATACATGTAATTGCATTTAATTATTTTGCATATGTTTATTATTTACGTGAAAGGTAATTATGTTATCGTAACTATTAAGATCAGCGGACTTAAATGGTATTTAAATGTAAATGTATCATTTTTCTTGTGTGCGTAACTTTGTAAAGTCTGTCCAGCTGTGGGCAGCCGAACAAATCGTGAACATTTCAACTATTAAACGTTTCGTACACATGATTCCTGCAGATAACAAATACGACCATCTTCCTTCCTCATAGTCTTGCAATAAAAAAAATGCAACTTTTTCTACAAACAAATTCTACCTTACATACGAGAGGGATGGTTACGGTTGATTAATTATATTGCAGTTTCTCCGAGATTTGTACATCAGATTAAAATTCCTTTTATTATTTATATGACCAGTGACCTACTTATCGTTACAAGCGAATTGGGTGGCGCACGACAGGAATCCTTTATTTTCCCGCCATATGAACCCGTTTGATAGGTTCAAAGTTCTATCTATATACAGATAAAAACAATCCATGGTAAGCATTTTCTCGCCTCACTCATACTTTTACAAGCATGTTTAAAATATTATAAATTTTGGTTAAGATAAAAATTACATGTTAATCATGGAGGCATTTACTAATAAATGACTATCAAGAAATAATATTACAATTATTTCTTACCGTATTTATCGTAAGACAAATAATGCCATGGAGCCTCTTGGTCTGGGTTGGGATTTTCTATATATAAGCTGTGATGCGAATGAATTTATGCAAGATAAAGAACAACTGACCAATCACATTCCAACTTGCACTGACCACTTACTCGTATGAATGAATATATAAAATACATATGAATAAACGTACTGGTCGTTTTGTTCCCTTTGGACTGGACGTTCATTGATTACAATGTAAATAAAAATACACTGAAACAAATTATTAAGTAAATTCGGTACATGGTACGACTTATACTTTAACATAATGATTTAGAATCATCAGTACAGACATTACATATTACTCTATAATTACATTGCACACAGTTTATATCATTGATTACTTTACCCACAAATAACAGTAATTTATATCACTGTTCGGAAACGTGAACCTTCTTAAACACAGAATCATTACACACTTCCGATTTAGAAATTTTGAAGTTATAAAGAATAAAATTTTCAATGACCTCGATTTGAAATAGTTTATCTCATCACTGAAGAGACATAATTTGTCAAAATGCGCATCTTGTGCATCAAAATTGGTACCTCATAAGATTTACCGAATAAGTTTTTTTTGCAGAAATAATTCAGATTCCTAATGTTTAGGCATGATCATTCCTGTAGAGATTTGTCGAAATGCGCAAAATAACCACAGACAAAGACTTTCACAGATAAACATCCAAATTTAGAATAATGCATTTCAAATAAGGGTAACCTTTGCTCGGGGATATGGTATGCTATTGTGAAATGTCTATTGTGAGATAAAAACATCACAATGCTTAATTTTCCTAATGAACGACCATTTGGTTACTAGTTATGTGGTCAATTACCAGTACTCTAATGTCCTACAGTTTAATAGGGATGTCATGAATTATTTGGATACTTAACAATATTTAGAAAGAATACTGTTATGTGTCAATATAAGGTATTTTGCTCTAGATCTGGGGGAGCATTAACCTCGATGGTCACAGATAATATGGTTAGGGACATTAATCAAAATGTATTGATGTAGACAGAAAAAGCAGAGAGAAATTCCGTTTAAACAGGCTGGAGTCATTCCATGTATGAACTACAGTAAAAATGTACCATTCAAGAATATCTACTTCAGCCCAACTTTCGATCTGCGGAATCTGTCCCCTAGTATTGCAATGTCAATGACTATTTCTGCTAAAATTACCTATTCATGTTTATAAAATTTATAAAAATTGATATTAATTAAGCCTTGATTATTTTTCTCACATTGAAACGATCGGGAAGCGTTATCTGTTCCTTTTTTGTCATCACTTCATGACACTCTAGAAACCAAGCATAGACATTCTCTCCATTCTTATACCCCCTATTAACAAACTCGTTTGCTCTTGCTATCCCTTACAGTCGGACGAGCATCATTTGTTACAATTTTTAGGACTGGTGACGTAAATTCGCCTTTTTCTTTGCTTTCACAATAGTTAAATGTTTTGTCAGAAAGATATTTAAATCAACGATAAACTAAAGCCCTAGGCACATTTCCACTTGATTTTCTTTTGTTTTACGGATCGTTTTCTGAACAGTTCTACTCAGCTCTACACAAAAATTAGTGTGTGACCGATAGCCTAACATTGAGGCTGTCGTGATGAAAAACCTTTCTGATATTCTTATCTCTTATCAATACGTTTCAAACTTGCACAAAATTTATAGAGTCAAGATAAAGATCGATATATAATGTGTATAATTCTTTGAATTTCCATACATTCTCTGGGCCAGCAGTATTAATTTCATACATGTAGTAATCACAAATTCCAATACCCGATTTCGAGAATGCGCCGAGTATCCCTACCAAAGACACATTAATAGGTCATTTATAAGAAAAAATACCTTGTGTTATTACACTAATAAATTAAATATTTATTACAGAAACAAGTGTCTGTGGACCTGACTGTACATGTGTTAGTCATAAATGTTAAAATCTTCTCTTTATACTGTTGTTAGACTACTTACTATGTTATTCAACAAGTCTCTATGAGAAAGAGAGTTTTCGTCTTTTTGGGAAAAACTCATGTTATTCCTCTGTTTAAAAAAGATGACTTACTTGGTTATTAATTTTAGACCTGTGTCGTTATTATATTGATTTTGTAAAAAATGATGGCGAGAATCATTTTTAAACATTTTTTCAATTATTTTCATACCAAAAAATTGTTTTATCGACATCAAGCCGGTTTCTACCCGCGGTTATTTTACTGTGTATCAATTACTAGGAAAGAACCATAGTATTTTTAAAATTATTGATGAAGGTAAATCATGTTGAACGGTTTTTTATGATCTGTCAAAACCTTTTGACAGACTATGATAAAAAGGTCTTTTATTTTCAATTGCAAACTTTTGGCATTTCAATGTTTTTCTTCAGTGGTTGCCTAGTTATCTAAGTCATACAAGTAGGCCACGAATGGTAATGTATAAATATTTGTTATCAACAATTTGGTATTGGTGCAGATGTACCCGTGGGTTTTGTCTTGAGACCACTTTCATTTCTTATTTATATTAATGGTGTTGATGTATATATATTATTCATGTGTAGATTTTTCACAATGCGATTCAACAATTTTCATACAATATATTAGGTAATAAATACAAGTTAAACCACGATTTACATATTTTGGAATTAAGGTCTGATAAGTGGTTTCTTGAATTGAACCCATCCAAAAGTTTTTTTTCAACAAGGAAAATATTTTTGTTACACCTAGATTATTTTTTAAAGGTGACATACTGGAATGTGTTCAAGTCCACTGTCACTTGGGTGTCAAGTATGAGGCGCCGTTTTGGTATTTACTGTCATAAAGTGATATCACCTGTTCGAATAGGTGATATCACTTATTCAATTGGTGACATCACCTATTCGAATAAGTGATATCACCTATTTGATTTGAATTGGTGATATTACGTACTCAAATTATTTATGAAATAACAACTGCTCCCAGGACTTTTCCTATTCGAATCAAATAGATGATATCACGAATTCGAAAAGGTGATATCACTTATTCGAATAGGTGATATCAGCTATTCATTTTGAATAGATGATATTACTTATTCGAATACGTATTCAAATTATTTATGAAATAACAACTGCTCCCAGGACTTCCATTACTTCCACTTTTGTTTATAACTTCCGGGTTGCATGAATGTTCTTATGGAGACAATGTATAGAGATTCACAGATGGTTTTAAGAACCGCAGTAACATTATTAATAGAACTGATTTGTCTATCAATAAGACGCCTGTGGTGGTTATGCAAATTATCACGCGAGTGAACTGATCGATTTCAAAATAATAATAAAACTGGACTGTTGTTCCTTAAATATAGAAAGTTGAATATAGAAAAGTAGATATCATTTTTGTCCAACGTATCAACTGATAAGATGCCATGTATGTACTTCT